CTGCAAGTTCCTGCGCAGTTTCTTGTCCTTTATACTTTTCGTATTGACTCCTCTTCCTCGACCGTAGTCTCTGTGTGCCTCTTTCTCGCGCCGGCGTTTCTCTCGTTCGTGTTTCGGTACAAGACTCGTCCGCGCCTCTACGACGCGGGCGCCGTTGTCGGTTTCCATAGCGGTGGATTGGCAGACAAACGAGACGTCGAAGTTTGTTGTTATGAGTAGGTTGACCAGATCCGGTGTCAATGGGTTATTGAATGAATGTCGGCGTTATAAAGAGGAATAAAACCAAGTGCAAATAGAGCACATGGCGCAAATGCTCACAGAGTAGGTAGATTCAAGACGGGAGCATCACAGACAAACCGTCCAGAAATTTTAGTGGGACTTCCCTGGGTCCTGGATAGATTACAGTTAAGTAACCCGATAAGACGTAATCCGGATTAGCGTAAGCGTATTTTGTGCTTAGTGTGCATTAGTCAACGTAATGTACGGTTTCTGCACGGTTGCTTGCACAGAACCGATTTGTTGCCTTAGTTACTGGGACAGTAATACGGATTATCTTCCGTATTTCGTGCATCGTCGTGCTTTTAATACGCCCACACAAAAAAACTATGCCCCTCTATCGCTAATCGAGATAAGTCCCCTCCAACTTTGTCCGGCTTCACTTACACATCTCGACTAAGAGATTCGCTTGCGCATCATCGGTGTTTGGTCGCAACTTGCGGAGATTTTGTGACCTGATTCTTGTTCAATCTGGCTTCGTTACCCTTCAGATTTAAAGCTGGTGGTGACGGCACGATGTCTTCGGCCGTACACGCCCATCGGCCAACTACCAAAGTTGCGCATAAGGCCTTCAAATCGAAGAAAGCCACTAAAGGTTCACTTCGAGACGCAGCCAAAGGTACACCCTACTATACGCGACTGAGTCTCGCATCCATCTACCTTGTGCGCTTTTTCTCTAACCCATCTCTTTCACATAGGCAAGGTTCCCAACGAAAGACGAAAGACGCCTCACCAACAAATCATGTCCAAAATCGATCGACGAAACCAGGCCAAGCAGCGCCAGCTCATCAAGCACAAGGAACATCAAAAGGAGGCTTCTATATTTCTTGGGCGAGATGGCGCCCCAAGAATTGTTGCTGTAATCCCCTTATGTGCTGATGGCGATGCGCTCGCAGCTGTCAAAAGCCTCAATGGCAGTCTCGATATCGAATGCGATCTCTCCGCCTCTCCGATCCGAGTCTCTGTCGACCGCTTCAAGCAGAAACTACAATACGTACCGGTGAAGAGGGATCTGTCGCCCTGCATGGATGCCGCGCGAGTAGCCGATTACGTCCTCTTCATCCTGTCCGCGAAAACCGAAGTTGACCCCTTGGGAGAACTGATTATCCGAAGTATTGAGAATCAGGGCATGTCCACGCTGTTCACGGTGGTTCAGAATCTCGATACCATCGAACCTGCGAAGGCGCGACCGGATGTCGTCAAATCACTGGCATCCTTCATGACCCATTTCCACCCAGGCCAGGATAAGATCTACAGCCTTGATTCTAGACAGGAGTGTTCGAATTTGATGAGGTCTCTCTGCAACACCATGCCGAAGGGAATTAATTGGAGAGATCAGAGGTCATGGATGTTGGTAGACGAAGTACGGTGGCCAGCCACCGAGAAGGAGTCTGCCGTACTTACAGGAGTCGTTCGTGGAAAAGGTCTGAAAGCCGATCGATTGGTCCACATCGGAGAATGGGGCACTTTCCAAATTGAGAAAATTACGGCGGCTCCAACCACAAGTCGAAGACGGAAAGATGATGGTATGGCCGTGAATGATGCGGACGGCGAAGAGTTGATAGAGGCCCCGAGTGAAGATCGAGATGATCTTGCCGAACTGGCCCCTGAAGAAGCAGTTATGCAAGATTTCGATGATGGGGATGACATGATGGATTCCCGGCCGCCGACGCAGCAGAAAGGCGTTCTGTTAGACGACCACCATTACTTCTCAGAGGAGGAACTTGAGAAGTATGAAGCCCCCAGAAAGCTGCCTAAGGGAACATCTTCATATCAAGCGAGATGGCTATTGGATGATGTTTCCGATTCCGATTCAGAGTTTGACGAGGAGATGCAAGATGTGCAGGATGACGTCGCACCCCGGCCAGAAGACGGCATAGAAGGCCTCGCTGGTCGTGAGCCCACGGAAGCGGCCATGTCAGAATATCCTCAGTCTGAAGCCTTCGCTGAATTAGAAGAGGGCGAGGATGCGCGGCAACTTGCTGAATATCGAACTAAAAAGAAGCGCGACGAAGCGGAGGAGGACAAAGAATTCCCCGACGAGATCGAGTTGCATCCGCATGTACTCGCTCGTGAGAGGCTGGCAAAATACAGAGGTCTCAAAAGTCTGCGCACAAGTCCTTGGAACAAGGAAGAAGACCAGCTTTATCAACCCGAAGAGTGGACTAGACTATTACAGATATCAGACTACCAGTCTTCTAGAAACCGCGCACTTCGCGAACTTTTGGTTGGCGGCGTCGCCCCTGGGACAAGAATTCATGTTCACCTGAGGAACGTGCCCACTGACCTGCAAAAGTCCTACAGCCCCTCAAAACCCATTACACTCTTCAGTCTCCTCAGGCACGAGAATAAGAAGACGGTGGTCAACTTTGACATTACCCACAAAGAAGACTATGAAAAGTCGATCAAGGCGAAAGAAGAGCTCATCGTTCAGTGTGGTCCTCGCAGATTTGTGATCCAGCCGCTGTTCTCAGCCAGCGGAAACACGGAGAACGATGTACACAAGTACTTGCGTTTCCTCCATCCAGGAGATTCCGCAATCGCGACATTCACTGGACCAATTACCTGGGGCTCAGTCCCAACGTTGTTCTTCAAGCGAGTTCAACCCCAGCCGGGAGAGGAAGGGCCCGCTTTGCCCTTACAGTTGGTTGCGACGGGCACTTCTCGTGCCCCATCAACTTCCCGTGTGATTGCCAAGCGTGCCATTTTGACCGGCCATCCTTACCACATCCACAAGAAGGTGGTTACCATTCGATACATGTTCTTTAACCGAGAAGACGTGGAATGGTTCAAGGCCCTCCCGCTCTGGACGAGACGAGGCAGGAGTGGTTATATCAAGGAGACACTGGGTACGCATGGTTACTTCAAGGCCAACTTTGACGGCACCATCAACCCCCAGGACTCGGTTGGTGTCAGTCTGTACAAGCGTGTATGGCCACGGAGTAGCACTCCATTCACGGGACCCTTATTAGACGAAGGAGCTTTTACTGCGCAAAGTGATGCGATGGATGAGGATATGCAATGAAAAAGAAATACTACCAAACCGGGCTGGCGATTGATTGTAAATAGATGGAGTTGATGAATCACGAATGATCGCATGGCGAATAGCCAGCGAATACCAAAATCTAACCTTTGAATTACTTCCCTTCGTATCCCCAGATTGACGAACGATGGTTTGTTCTTGAATGGTACACGGACCTAGCTCAAGTTGTTCAGCTAGAAAATACACCTATTTCACAATGACTCCAAGCATCGAGCATCTCAGCCCAATGTCTCCAAGCCAGTCGTCGGTCCCGGACCGCCATTGCGCCTGCTCACCTCCTCGGCGCCACTAGCCTTCCAGGCGCTGAGTATCAGATTAACAATATGATCGACACCAACACCTTTCTTAACCTGGGCAAAGACAGTAGGACCACCCTCGCGCATTATACGCGCATCGCGCTCCATCACAGCAAGGTCGGCACCAACAGCATCGGCAAGATCAGTCTTGTTCACGACGAGCAAGTCACTCTGCGTAATGCCCGGTCCGCCCTTGCGGGGCACTTTGTCGCCGCCGCTGACATCGATCACGTAAATGATGTAGTCAGCTAGCTCGCGACTATAGTTCGCGGCTAGGTTGTCGCCGCCCGACTCGATTAGGAGGAGGTCGGTCTTGAATTCCCGGTGCAGGTCCTCGAGCGCGGCGAGGTTTGCGGAGATGTCCTCGCGTATGGCGGCGTGGGGACAGCCGCCTGTCTCGATTGCGCGGATGCGCTGGGCCGGGAGGGCTTTCTTGCGGGTTAGAAACTCGGCGTCTTCGCGCGTGAAGATGTCGTTCGTCACGGCAGCTATGCCGTAGCGATCACGTAGGGCTAGACAGAGGGCGAGCATTAGGGCGGTCTTGCCTGAGCCGACAGGTCTGGGTGCATTATTAGTCTTATCGTCATATCTTTGTCATGAGAGATGGATGGATGATATGAATGGGCTGAGTGAGTTGTAATGACAGGCGAGGACGGTATCATATATGTATATGTCTGTAGGTATGGGACAGGATGTATGAGTGAGTGGATGTGTCATGCCGTACATGAAGTGTGCATGTATGAATCCCGGAATACCTGAGAATATGATAACGACTTACCCTCCAATGCCAATGGTGAAGGCCCGCTCATTCCAGTCCCGGCCCTCCACTATGGGCATCTCGCGGCCGAAGAAGCTGCCGGGCCCGGTGAGGATCTCGTGTGAATGGCCGTGATCGGCAGCCGACATGGCATCGTGAGAATGAGAGTGGCTCGCGCCATCGTGCGAGTGTACCATTGTGACGTATTGGTCTCTATCGAGATGTATGGGCTGCTGTTTTCTGTTATATGCGCCAAGGTACAGTTTGAGTAATACGATGCTTTTCTCTTCTCCTCAATCTTTAAAAGAAAGGCAGTTTAGAGACTCAATGCCAGCTTCCCGAGAACTAATCACTTGTAAATACCATTCGGAAGGTACGTTGCCGGTTCGTAGATCTATCGCTACTTCCCTTACTTACTTACATGTTGGATGCGGGGCAAAAGATAGATAAGTTGCCTAACCTAGATAGTGAACTAAACATATTTCTACCCCACTTCGCGCTTACCTGTTGGTGGTCGAACTCTTGCGGCGGACTGGAGGTCGTCATTATCGTGATTAGTCTGAGGTTAGAATCCTACTGCAGATATATTTGGCATTAGGCGGGCTCCTGTCCAACAATCAAAGCACTGTCTCGATTGGTCTAGTGGCTAGGATACCTGCTTGTCAATTCGGTGTTCCGCACCGGTTAGCAAGCCGCAGGTGGCCGGGGTTCGATTCCCCGATCGAGAGGCTAAGGAAAAATTCTTTTTCGTCCTCTTTTTTTCTACTACTTTTTTCTTCAAATATCTTTTTTCCCTTCAACACCAAATCTCGGGTCAGTCTTCAAGTCATGTAAGGTATAATCTATACGCAACACATACCTAGGAATGGATACAGCAGAAATCTTTCGGATCTTATATCATTTAAGGATGTTCTTTTTCTTTTGTCATTTTCCAAACCAAACGTCAATCGGTATCTTGTGGAAACCTCCGCTTTTCCCGAAATGAAGCCGAAATAACTTTCCTGTCTCGTTAAGCCACAGCAGACCACGGCATGTTTATGCCCTGAATGTCCCTCCAAGGGTCATGCATGATCCAGTAGGTACTGATGATCGCGGCTACGGATTCTCTCCGGTGTGTAGTGTAAGATCTTTATTTTTATCATATTCTCCTGTCCAGTTGTCGGGATTGGCCATGATTCGTCGGAAGTAGAAGTGGTACGCGGTTGGATGTAATATCCCTTCACACGTTGATTGCCATTGTCTGGGCCCTTTGTTTGCATTGTTCCCTGGCTGATAGACAGAATGTGTCTACGCATTATGGCACTCCTTGGCTCGGCCAAAAGGTCTGCGAGCGCGTTCGTTCAGAGGATACATACCAGCCCATTCGTGCAGACTTCTTTATGCGCAGCGAAATGCAAGGGGGAACTGCAATTGCCGTGTCTTACAAGTTGCCACTGAAATGTGATTCAAGGGAGTCTCGGTTCGCCATTCTCGACAAAACAACCCAACCTAGAAGCATCCGGACCATCCATGAATACGTACATACACGATATCCATCCGTGTGCATGCGTGTAAAATGCCAATGGCCACGGCGAATCGCCCCAACCGGAAAGCCGCCGCGATTGGATTTACGCTTGTGTACTCCTGTCTATCCTACAGGATGCACGTAATTACCTAGTTATGTGTTAGATCTGCTACTTCGCTCCGCATTCCGACGATCCTAGGAGTATTAACAGATCTCGAGGTCGAGCCTCAGTTGTTCTTACCCCATTGTTGGGGAAACGAAGCCCTGGAAGAAAACAGTGGCCTATTCATTCATCAGAGTGTGTGTGACATGCCTTGATCACCATTGTCTCATCCGAAATCCGGATTTTTCATGCGTTTGTAGTCCGTACGCTCCCGGTCGATGTCAAAGGGGAATGGGACTATGCATTGTAGGATTCAGGTCTAGCACTTTGCTCTCGATGCCTCGTTTACAACTGGATGCCGAATTTGCACGTATTACTCGATTCATAGATACAGAATCATATGTTTGCCCCTATTATTCGGAGCAGTTATGCGTACACCAGTAGTTAAGACGGTGAGTGGTGTACCTGTGCTGCTCAGTGTTGCGTTAGTCAAAGTCAAAGCCAAGGCCAAGGCCAAACATACCTACATGGACATGCCATCTAATGCGTATTAGCTGATATGTACGCCAAGGAGGACCAAGAACCACCGAAGGAGTGCTTTGATGGGTTTTCGATGGTCACGTTAGGTAACAGCCTGCCTCTGTAACATCGTTTTGTTCACTGACAGGTCGCTGAAGTGTACGGCAGCGGATCACAGCATGGAGATATGTCAGGATCAGGAGATTGACAGTCAAGCAAGCGGTCCGGGGGCGGCCGGCCAAGCATGTGCACCAGAGGTGAGACGGCTAGATTGAAGAGAGGTTTCACGGAGTAGCGGCACGACAGGTGCCTGAGTACAATACATACCAAGACAAGGAGTGGTTGCTCCGCAGGAGAGGCGGAAGTCGGAGAGGGGAATCATCGGGCAGGCAGGTAGGATACCTACTCGTAAGGTTGGGCCGGTGAGTCGGCATGGTGAGGATAAAGCCATATGGTTCGGGCATTGCCGATGTAAGAAAAGAGACTGCGGACTGTCTCCTCTTGTCCCGTCGTGTTCACGGTAGATGAGATACTCAGGTAAGTAGTGGGTATGTATTGTTATAAGCAGGATGTGAATGCCGACCGATCAAAGCTACGATCAAAGCTCGTGCATGTGGTGTAGGAGGCTAGGTAGAGAGAAGTGGAAGTGCGAAACGATGCCTGACGCACGAACGATTGCATCGTCAACGGGCGGTTCCATCGGGGCCAGTTTGATTCCGTCCCACACACACGGAATATTGCGGGAGATATGCAACTACCGGGACAATCAGATCATGCCTTCCGCCAGGCGGGCAACTTTTCGATCGACATCTAACCTACAGCTGCCTATCATCGAGCGAATTCGAACACTGCCAACCAAAGAGGCAATTCCAACATAAGAGTCATCACCAAGGATGGTTATATTTCTTGGCATTTTACTCACGTCAAGTTGGGTGTCGTGACTTCAATTGCTTACTACCTTCATAAACTCAAAAAGTTCATTTCAGTGAAAATCATAGCGAGGTCGCAGTTGAGGGATTGACAGACCGAGACGGACCGAGAGGAGTGCCAAACAGGGTGCCCCTTCCTAGCTGGGTTACCCCATGGGCCCGTGCATTAGCGTACAGTTGTACAACTCGCAACTCCAGATCCTTCCTCGATATCGTTTAGCGTCATCCTAATTGTAGATAGGCTAACCGTGTACAGATTTGATCACATTAGCGAGATGGGGATGTTAAAGTACCGAGACTTCGTGTCCACCGATACATAGCAGACAGATGGAAGATAAGTAGGTACATCTACCTAGTAGGCGAAGTGACGCCTGTCAACGCAATTGGATTTCATGGCAGTTGGGACCGGCCAATAGGTAGGTAATTTACTTAGCGACGCCTCTCATCAATGGTCCACGACGTCAAGTGATGTTTCCTACACTCTGTAACTCCTCCCTAAATGAACGGGTCAGATGGGGGGATGTCTCAAAAAAAGCATCGCATCCGACCTCAGCAGAGTAGATACCGTATTATGCTGGCTGTAGTTGCGGCTCTTCGCTTCAGTTTGCCCTGCTCTTGTTCTCTTTCTCTCCTTCTTCCTCCCCTGTTCGAAGATAGACGCACGGTCCTTAATAAGAACATCACTCGTGAGACTTCAGTTCGCTCAGCTGTGAATCACAGGCGGCCATCGGCCTGTTTTCATCTCTAATCTAATCTGTTATCTCCCATCAAAATCCCGTCCCTGGTTCTTGTTTGCGATATCCTTCTATGCGCGTTTGCTCCTAGTTATTCATTAATACGATACATATGTACAGTCCGTACCTGGAAATGTGTCTGTCTCAATCCTACCTTCGGGGAACTTGAGTCGGCCCCATCCTTGCTGCCGATGACTGCGCCTGAACTTAACATCCTCCTCATCTTTTCCCACCACTCTGCCAACAAGCCAATAAGCCAACAAGTCAACAAGCCAAGCTCGACACTGTCTTAGCACAACACTTGAAGCGGGCTGACTCGGGCCATGCACGCGAAAAGCTTCTGCTTGGCTCGGTTTTTTGTACGTGGTTACGGTTACAGTTACGGTCGCGGCGACGAGAAGAGGTAGAGGTGTAGGGCCAGCCCTCGATACTACCTGAGACCATACATGCACCACTCCAACTTCTCTGCTCCTCAGCAAAGTATTATAAAATCACACATCGGAGGAAATACCTCACAAGTCGCCCTTTGGTCTCCCTAACAACCCCGGAGCGCCATCAGCCAATTCGTTCGTTATCCCCCACATCCGTTATCGATCGGCACTCATCATCACCATAAAGAGTTGGTAACATACCCCCCTCCCCCTCAATTCTCCCCGCCCTTGATCACATTCTCATCGATTACTAGGCCGCCAACCGCTGGCTCACTGATGAGTTGCGATGGCCTACTCTCGCGAACTCGCCAGTGCGTTTCCGCCGCCAATGAAGATGCAGGTACCGGCACCCATCAGCGAAACCGGAAAACAAAGAAGACAGTTCCAACGGCGTTCCCAATCGATGCCCTTTGATCCGGATGATCTGAGCCGGAGATTGCTCGTGGTGCTCGCCGAGCGAGAGGCGGAAAAGGAAAAGGACTTGCGACGACAGAAACGCGCCGACGCCTTCCTACACCCACGACGAGCGCAGGCTGCAAGGGAGCATCATCACCCCTATCTAGAGGGCAACACAAACGCGACTACGGCGAAAACGACACGAACAACGTGGGCAGTGTCGGATGCGACGGCACACGCCGAGCGGCCATCCAAGCCGAAATCAAAACCCTCTCTGCAAGAGCGATTGCGCCACCGCGCCTTCGCCTCGTCATCATCGACGGCGCTGGTGCCTCCCGCACCCGCACCCGCTCCCGCTCCCCCGCAATTGGGTCATGCCGCCAACGTCGCAGTGAACGGAATCACAGTTTATCGTCATGTACCAGAGCAGGCGGCCGCGCAGTTTAGTCGCACGACAACCGCAGCTAACATGCCCCATGAGACCGAAGTTCCGAGCCTTTCGGCGAGCGCGCTCCGCTTCTATTCCGAGGGTACCTCGTCTGTCCACCACGAGAACACCACCTCGCCAGCGAAGCAGCGAACATTTCTTCAGCGAGCCCGCGACCATCGCGAACGCCTGCGCACACGAAACCAGTTCCAGGACCCGATTCCCGACGGCAATGAGAGCAGACGGGCAAGCAGATCTGGACCGGGAGGAGTTGGGGAGGTAGATGGTGCGGCCTCGGCGCTCGCGGACATACACCTGCATGCCTTCCCGAATCAGGGACAGCGCGTAGGCGACAACGGCCAGCCGCTTTCGTCCGAGGACACTCTTGTCGACGGAGTCTTGGCCGCCGAGCGTCGCGCCGACTGGACACAGAGAGATGAGCTGCCACCGCGCGAGAGCCGGAGAAAGGGGTTGCACCCCCTGTTGCGCAAGACCACATCACTCCTTACACTGAATGGCAGGTTAAGCCGGAACAGTGGCAAGAATCAGCTTAGGGTTGTGACAGTGGAGGAAGAGGTAGATGAGCAGGGCGAGCAGGCGGATGCCGAGGTGGATGACGGCTCTACACCTATAAGCCCCGGATCCCGACGGAGTATCAGCCGATACACAGGCCGGGCTAGTGTTT